ATGCCGAAGTTGAGCGACAGTCTTGGCGATCCTCGGCCCAGTCAGCGTCGGAGTAACCAGCGCAGGTAAGAGAGCCCCCAAGACGTAGTCAAAGTGATTTGGTTGAGGCCAGGTAGTTTAAGATTTTGACTGCCGCAGACCAGTGGGACAAAGAGGGATCACGAAGAAACTGAGATAGCTTGTTTACAGCAAAAGAGACATCCGGGCGTGTACACTGAGCAATCCACAGTAGAGAGCCAATCAGTTGGTTATAAGGGCCAGGAGAGGGGTCTTCATTGGCAGTCCGTTTGAGCAGGTCCTTGAAAGCTGAGGAAGTAGGTGTTCTGGTAGCCGTGTGTGTGCCATGGAGGAAGCGAGAGACCATGTCATCAATGTAGTGACTTTGAGACATATAAAGAAACTTGTTCTCATGATCACGTGTAAACTTGATCGAGAGAAAATGATGGAGGTCTTCGTCTGCGCCAATCTTGAATTTTTCTCCAAGGCTGGAAATAATTGAGTCGACAAAGGAATCTTCCCCCACAACGGCAAGGTCATCGACATGAACGGTTATGGCCCCCATTAGTTTACGATCGTGAACCTTGAAGTACAGGGTGGGGTCGTATTTGGACTGAGTGAGACCAGAGTCGAGAAGAGCTTGATGAAGTTCCTGGTTCCATTGACGAGGGGCCTGTTTGAGGCCATAGATTGACCGGTGGACTTCACAGACGAAGTCAGGGTTGGTATCATCTTCAAACCCGGGAGGTTGATCAAGATGGCCGTTCAAGAAAGCGGTTTTGAAGTCTACTTGACGACCCTTCCACGATTTTGATGCCATAAGACTGCAGATGAGCCTTAGTGTTTCGAGACGCAGAGTGGGTGAAAAGACTTCTTGATAATCCGTCCCACGAACCTGGGAATAGCCCATGGCCACGAGCCAGGCTTTTAACTTTAGGATAGATTTATCAGGACAGCGCTTCACTTTGAAGACCCACTTTGACTTGATGATTTTCCGTTTTGACGGCCTGGGAACCAATCTCCAAGTATCCATGCCAAGGAGGGAAGAGAATTCTTCATCCGCAGCTTGAAGCCATTTAGCCTTGTGAGGTGATTTCTGGAGCTGGCGCCAAGTTTTGGGAGTATCAACATCCTCAGGAAGAACTGCAGAAGATTTAGCCCAGTTTCCGTAGCGTTCAGGAGCCTTCCGAGCACGTCCAGATTGCCTGACCGGGGGAGTAGGGGGACGCGAGAAGGGTAGAGGTAGTGACGCGGGTGATGGCACAGCCTGAGGTTGAGCAGGATCAGCAGGCGGAAGAGGCGCGGGAGATGTTGAAGCGGGCAGAGTAAGAGGAGGGACGGTGTCCATGAGGGAGGATGCTGGGGGGCGAAGAAAGGGATGGAACACCCCGAGTCGATGTTGATATTGGCAATGCTGGCAGTGGCAGACTCAGTGAGGGAAGACACGACAACGGCGTTGCCAGCGCGCTCAGGGACGGAGAAGTCCGAGTTGTCGTCATAGGAGTCATGACCGAGTTCGACGACGGTGACCTGACCAGCGGTGTGGAACTACTCAACCAGGGAGATAGAGCTTGGAGGGGATATAGACAACTACACTAGTACTAATGTAAGTTGAGACTACAGGTGCTGATGAGGCTGCCCTCCTGTACAATGCTAATGGGTAGAGTGTAACACTAAGAAAAAGAAGAAGAAAAGGTGTGGCTGATTTCTACTTTATCTTAGACTGCTATTACTGATGAGCTTGTGTATGTAGTACCTACTGAGGTGTGAGGAGGAGGAGGAATGAGGTGTGATGGGATAATACTGGCAAGGGTGTAACACTGGCAATGAGGAATGACACTGGCAAGGGGAATAATCTGGCAAATGAGGATTTATAACTGGCAAGGGGGAATGTATAACTGGCAAATGTAACTGGCAATGATATCTGGTAAAGATATAAGGGTGATACTAGTATTTTTGATTTCTAAGACTGTGGTTAGAAGATAATTCAGGCGGGGTACATAGCCAAAGGGGGAAAATACATGAGGAGGAAGAAGGAGTATATAAGTGTACAACATGTACATACAACAGTAAAGCACCATGGCTGGGGAAATCTTGGCTATGGGTAATGTAAGTCTTGAACAGTAATAAGTGATGAGAAATAATGTAGCTAAGTGACAGATGTTCTGTGTATACAAGTGTTAATCAGGTATGGAAAGTCAAAGCAGTGTGAAAGGAAATATGTACATGATGTAATGTAGTTAAGGTTATCCTGATTGATGTATGTAATTATGGTTATGCTGAATATGTAGTGTAGTATGTAGTAATGGTGATGTACCATGATGAATGAGTGATTCTACACAGAGACTGTAACTATATAATGTGTAATGTATATGTACTGTATGTATAAAGTAATGTACTGTTCTGTAACTCTGAATATACTGAGGGGATGATAACTAGAGAACTACAAGAGATACTGAAAAGCTGTAAGAGGTGACTAGGGGTGAAATAATGTGTAGAATCTGAATATGAAATAATACTGGGAAGAGTATATGTAAAATGCTGTGAAAAATGAGGATACATGGAAAGGTATGGACATACCACAGCGGTCGCGGAGGGTCTAGCAGACGGGTTGGTGCGAGCAGGCGGACGGTTGTTGCCTGTACGACGTTGATTGTCTCGAGAGACATCAGAGCGGTGGGAGCCTCCTCCGCTGTTGGAGGATCGGTTGGCCTTGTGCTCAGAAAGCACCCGCGCTGCGTTGTCGCAGATAGAAAGGTCGTGACCAGGTCGGTTGCAGAAACTACAGTGGAGCGCCTCGGTGAAGCGGGGCTTTCCTTTGGAGGGGTCGGCACGTGCCTTAGAGGCAGAGACGGAGATGTCGTCTTTGCGGCGAGCCTTACGACAAAGCGATTCGGCTTTGAGAGCCAAAACAATCCTTGCCGACGACACAGAATCTTCATTCATTAGGGTCGACACGCACGGCAACCAGTTGTCGGTGAGGGAGGTTAGCAACGCGGTCGAATGGATGTCGTCCGCCGTTAGAGGTTTTTCGGGAGTTACCAGAGAGTTGAGGCGCTTGGCACAGACGGCCATGGCCTCAATATGGGCATCGATATCGTCACCGACCAATTGTCGTAGCCAGTGCATACGCCCACCGGAGGAGAAGTCCTGGTGGGCTTGAGACAGGGAGGACCACATGGCAGCGGTGTCCGTGCCATGGGATCGGATGAAGCGAAGGTTGGTCGGATGAATTGTCCGCGCCATGAAGGATGAGACCGCGACGCTGTCCTTAACGTAGGCGGCCGAGTGTTCCTTTTCATCGACTGGGTCGAGCACATAGGAGAGATTCAGGGATTTGAGGTGGAGCAGAACCACAAAACTCCAGTCGAGGTAATTGGAGTACGCACCCTGCGGCTTAAGTTGAACGATTCCGGAAACCTTAAGGTTGGTGGAATCGGAGTCATTGAGTTCGGAATCGTTGGCCGATTCAGTAGAAGCCATGACGAAGGATCCCTTGTATCCAAAGGAGTCGAGTCAAATGAGTTTGTGCGTGAACGTCGAAACAAAGCAAGGTGAGATAGCGAGAAGAGTTCGAGACCGTTAAGCACAACTGGTGCTCATAACCTGTTGAGATGAACTCAGGTGACTGGAGACAAAGTGTTGGAAAGGATAATGATTCATTGCAACATGAAGAGAGAAGAGAGAAAATGAGAAGGAAAAAGAGACCATACCTGGAGACAAAGTGTTGGAAAGGATGAGGAAAAGAAAGCATCCCAAACACAACTGAATCCAGTATAAGAACTAAATGAAAAACAAGTGAATGTCACAGGATGTGACATGATAGAAATGAAATCAGGAAGAAGCACACAAAATGAAATGGGATGTCACAGATATCTCAACAGTATCTGCTTATTGGTGAAGTGGATTTGGGCCTTTAAATAGGATTCTACTTCATTCTCCTGCATAGTTTGTTGTACAGCCATGCAAGAGGCCAGGCACAACACAAGTTTATTCCATCCAACTTCTGGGTCTGCTGGTTTCTCTATCAACGCTGGGCCAGCTACGCTAACCGTAGCGTTAGCGTGGCGTAGCGCAGCGGAAATGCGCTACTTTGTAGCGTAGCGTTAGCAAAAAATCCGCCTTTCTGCGCTAACGCTACGCGCAAAGGGCACAGAAGTGCGTTAGCTGTTAGCGTGGCGTTAGCGCAGAAATTTGGAATTGCGCTAACGCTACGCGCTCAGGGCACAAAAAAGTGCCCGCTACGCCGCGCTACAGCGCTTTTTAGCGGGTTTTTTGCCTTTTTTGCCGCTAAAAGCGCTGTAGCGCAGCGTAACGCAGCGTAGCGGCTGTAGCGATGCGCTAACACTACCCAGAAGCAAGCCGCCTGTTAGCGGGGCTTCAGCGTAGCGGCGGTAGCGGCACGCTAACACTACAGAAAAAAGGGCCCGTTTTAGCGCCGCTACGCTAACGCTAAGTGGCCCTTTAGCGTAGCGTAGCGTAGCGTAGCGGCCCAGCGTTGTCTCTATGATGGTGAAATTGGGGTCATTAATAATCTTGATGTCGTTGATTTTCTTTTGAGTGTTTTTGTCCGCTGGAATTCTTGGTTGAGAAGAGTGTAGCTCTCCTTGACCTCTGTACTTTTGGGTCCAAAGACAAGCTCAAAGAGTTGCATCCGGAAGCAAGGATGCATCATTGTGGCCATGAGCAGAGTCTTGCATTGCATGGCTTCAATCAGATATTGGTCCACTCGTTTCAACATCGCATGGTACACTGGATACAGTGAATCCGTCTGCAATGACCGACCCAGTTTCTCCATTAGGCTCTCCTTCAGCTTGAGATATTTTGGTATGACATGTGTACCTGTTGGCAAGTCTCCTTCAATTTGAGATGTCAATCTTACAAACACCTGTTAGAAAACAGGAGAATACAAGTTACAGGATCAATTTACAGTACTGAGCAAACAAAAAGGTAGGCAGCGTACTTATAGCTTGGCATTCAGGTTGTCAATTTTCCTTCCAATCTCAAGGGGTGAAGAAAACATCTGCAAAGAGGCCAGCCTGCTTTTGCTCCTGGCCTTCCTTCAGTATGTGATTGATGATTGCATGAGCATCCATTGCCTTCTGGTAGCTCTGGTATCTGATATTCCATTGAATACCATAACCGGCAATCAAAGGTGCAAAATTTTTCTTCAATTTTTCAGCCGTATGAGCAAAGTGAGAACGCTGAGCCGCCGACCGTGTGATTTGTTTGATGACCACATCAAGCTAGCATGTACAAGACTGTTAGAAAGGTAAAAATTATAATCTAACCATGTGGGAACTGAACACTTACCTTCTGAGTTAGTTCCAGAAGTTTAGTAGACTTGATATGAGTACGACACAAGTCTTGGGCCGGTCGTCAAGTTGGTTTCAAAAGAATCAGAATCTTCCTCATCCGAAATCCCTTCACCCTCATTACCATAGTTGCTGACAGCATCCAAAAGATTTGGATCCTGAATATCAGGCGGATTATTGATATGATTGGTTGTTTGAGTTCCAATCAGTTGTGCTGGTTCATCCGGTTTGTTTTCTTTGATGATACTCCCAAGGACAGGGAAAAATCCCAAGATTGATTCCTTGGTCTTCCCCGGAGGAAGTGTTTCAAGCAACAGCGCCTTGAGCCCTGCATTAACAATCAGTGCCAGCTTGTGGCAAAAGCATTGCACATGCATTGCTGATTGACTTCTGTTTACCATCATGAGCCATCTTACGTTGTTCAGAAACCAAAGGCATAAGCTTTATTCCTTCCTGCTTAGCTTTGTTGTGGTTGGGGCATCCTTGGGGGTTCTTATCCTTCTGGGTATAGCCATTGCAATGAGCTTTTAAATTGCCGTTGGTTGACCCAAGCCCACAATAGACACCAAGGCACCACAGAAACTTGAAGTTGAGAGGGCAATCTTTATCATTGCCTTCCTTAAAAACTGGAGGAAAAAAAGTAATCCTCAATCTTTGCATATTTGTCTTCCTTACTATTCTTCTTCCCTCGTGTTTGGATTTCAATTGAATATTGATCCCGCATCCGTATCCTGATCGTAATCATGGGCCTGATGATCTTCACTGGTATTGAGGAAGTTTAGATTCAGAAAAACAATAAAATTAATGCCTATATCCTTTCAATTTTAAAGAATGGATACCTTGACATTCAATATCACACACCAGAGTTGCTTTTTGTTTGGCAGCTACGGCAACGGTGGCTTTGTTTTTCTTGGAGACAACAATCTGCTGGTGTGGTTTCTTTTTCTTTGGTCTTGATTTTGAGGAAGCCAATTTGGATTTAGGCAGAGCTAAGTCACCATCTGAGTCTGAATCCAATGTTGTCCTTGCATCTGTTGCTTAATTGGTTGACGGTTTTGCCACTGCAGGCTGTTTTTGGGTTGGGCGGGCTACTTGCAATTGAGAGTCTGATGATATGCGGACCATGTTTGGGTTAACAACGACTGATGATGCACTTGATGAACGGTGCCTATGCGTCTCAGACTGATCAGTGGCATGGCCAATGGGATCATTCTCACCGGATGGGTCACAAGTACTTGGTTGTTTGTTCTGTGAGGCCATTTGATTGGGGGTGTCTGATGAGATAGAGTGTGGATGTGTGGAAGAATCTGAGGGGGAGGAATTCAGACAAGCCAAGCCTCCAAGGATGCAGCGGAAGATTTTATGGGCACAATCGATTTTTTTTTCAACTCTGGGCTTTTTTACCCCCTGGTTAATGGGTTATTTTGTTAACCAGGGGTAAAAAATGTTACGATATCTGTATTTTTCAACTGAAAAAATAGCCTAGTTACTTTACAAGGCGCTGACAAAAGGGGTTGTTACTAGTAGCGGTAGCGTTATCAGGTTGTAAGGAAGACACTCTGAAATACTAAAATGGTCTGGTTATCGTAGAGTATTGTAAATACCCAGTGCTGGATGTGTGTAGCTGGTAGGTATGCAGGATTGGAATGAGGAACTGATTTGAGGAGGGATAAATGACCTCCTTATATAGTAAACTGTGAGGGATTTTTGCTAGTGAGGAAGTCCTGTGAGAGATTTATGCTGGTGTGAATTATTCTTGGTGTGATTTTTGCTGCTCGGAAACTTCTATTGAGCCATTTTTTCTGGTGTGTCATGTGATCTGCACTGCATCATACAGCAAATCACACATTGTGGTAGTTATTACTGTGTTTCTATGCAGAAGATATAAAAATTTATTATTATCTCTTTATATATTACAGATATGGCAACATTAAAATCAGAAATGGATTTCTCAGGTAAAATTACCCTTAGTCACTCACTACAACTGACCCCATATCTCTCATAGTTTAGAAGTTACACAGATTTCAACCTATCACATGATATCTTTTGGACTCTTTACTCTCAGTATGGCTTGTTTTGCATACTGGATGCATACTGAATATTGAATTCCTTTGTGCTGTATTGAATTCCTTTGTGCTGTATTGAATTCCTTTATTGGCTCATAGTGCATATTGAATTCCTTTGTTTCCTTTGTAGTAGGATCTTGTAGGCTAGCCAAATTCCCTCAAGACAGTGCTCCCACCAGCCAAATTTCCTCACCTGCATGTATTAAACTAGCTAAATTCCCTCATTGGATTTTCAGGCCAGCTAAAATGCCTCAAAAGCCTGTACCCTGGGTCTAAAATCCCTCACATTTGTCTATATAAGGAGGCCTCTGCCTGCCAGTTATTCCCTCCATCATCCCACCAGAGGACCTGATCATCTCAACCCAAATTGCAGATTATATACAAGTGACAGCCATAACAATACATTATATTGAAATACAAACATAACACAGAACCCTTTTGCTGAATGGAGAAGGGGATGATGGAGTTGCAAGCTCTTCCCTTCTATGCTATCAGAACAACAAGACCACCAAGCTTAGCTTGGCAGTTATATTTATCATGATAGAGGATAGTTCAAGATGAAGCTTCCAATTGATTTTTATAAGGGTCTGAAGTTATAAATGAGTGATGACTATATTGATTAATCTGTTGTTCAAAGCTTTAAAACCAAGGCGCGGAGCTCTGGGAGTGCTATGCTTTAACCAGTAATGGTATGGAGGCAGTTTATGGCACTTGGCACTTGTTCAGGCCTGTTACTTGTGAATAAAAAATCATTATCTCTTTCATTCTTGTTCAATGAGCTTTTCCAAAAAAAGGAATTATTCCTTTTTTGACCCTTTACCTCTCACGTGCCACCAGTCAAAAATTTAACAAGTGGTATGGGAGAACATATCTCAACCAGGAATTGAACTGAGGAGCAGAAGTATATACGTGGAGAGGAGTGGGAGAACATGTCTTTACTAGGAATGGAATGAAGGAGTGGTGTTTATAAGGGTAGTATGTGTAAGAAGGGTACTTTATGTTTACGTAAGGGTACAGGGTATGGATTGTAGAAAGTGAAGGGAGGAAAAATAATTGAGGCGAGGGAGGAAGGAAGGAGTGAGGAGAGGCTTTGACCCCCAAATTCTGGATGGAAAGAGATAACAGCAGGCCTGGAAGGCTGTTGCTGCCTATGCAGAATGTTCTAGAAGATGGCTTGGTTACATGGCAACACATGACATCATGCTGCCCTTGTGTGCTCTCTTGCATGCATATCATGTGACAAGGTCTGGAGTTAAGTGTTCCTAGTACAGCAAAAGCTGCACTATTTTTATGGAGGCTGTGGGCAAAGGCTGTGAAAGTGAGATCCCCTGCAGCAAACTTTCATTTAGCGCTCTTCATTCCTATGGTACTCATGTCAGAGATGTGCCGCAGTGCATCTCCTAGGGCAGCAGTGGAACAAGTTTCTCCAGCTGTCCAGAGTGTGGGATGGTAACTAAATCTGGATTCTTATATGGAATCAGACCTACTTGGGAACCATGGGAAATGATCAGTGTGTTTTAAGAAAATTCATATTATTTTCTTTCAATCTTCAAAATAGGAAAAGAAATAGGTTTAGGAACAAAAACACCAATTTTTGTTGCCAAACCAATGTAGGGTGGGTGACAAGTGAGAGAAAATTTATTTGATGATAAACTAAGTAAAACTTGTAGAGTGTTAAGGATGAGAGATAAGATTTGGATTTTGGATGAAAGAAAGTTCGTGGATGCTTCAATTGGGAACTCTTATGAGGTGCGTGGAGAAACTTTGCTTCAAGCACAAAATAGTCAGGCTTGTTTTGGACTGGACCAGGACTATTTTGTGCCTTTTCAAAACTAGAGATTGTCGCTGCGCATCTGGATATCCGCTTGCAATTTCAGCAAAATCAGACATCCACATCCACTGGCAGATATTGGTTGGCGCTGGTGGGTATCCGCAGATATCCGCGCCAGAAATGATGCCAAGGTTGCAAAATGAATGTTCCTTGGGGAAATTTCAGATTCCAAGAGCTGCATAAACAGCAATTTTGAAGTCCTTGCAGCCTGCAAGCCTTCATTTTTATTTTATTTTTTTCCCTTTGTTGCTTGCAGCCTGTGACCCTCCCAAAAATATGGAAAAAAAATATCGGATTTACTTTGCGCACGGGAGAAAACTCTTCGCGCACGGGGATCGTCGTATCCTCAACGTCGCGACCCTCCCGTGCGCACACCATAAATATATCAGTAGTTACTTCGCACACGAGTCGCTGGAGGGGTGAAAATCTCTGTGCACTCATCATCATTGCGGCAATCACCCCCTCAGCTTTCCAACAACCAGCAAGACCCGAATCTCTTGGAAAATCAACCGACCCAACACCCAGCAACCATGGCTCCCTCTGAAAGTGCATCCCCCACTCTCGCGGTTTCTCCGACTCCAGAAATGAAAATAACGACACTTGAAATAGGCTCTTTGCCTCCGATGAGCAAGACGACACTGGAAAAAGGTTCTTTGCCTCCAACGATCAATATAATACTCCCGGCAACAAACACGACAAGCCCTCTGACTCCCGTGATAGACCCGACACTCGAGACAAGCTCTTTGCCGCGGCCCAAGATCACTGCCGGCAATGAATCCATGACTTCAGGCCCTCCGGAAGTCTTTGTGCCAATCCCTCCCCCTCCCGAGAGCATTTACAAGACCAAGGAAGCTATGATTGAGAGCATCCAAAATTGGGCTCTCAACCATGGATATGCTATTGTTGTGGGGAACTCGGCATTCACAGGAGGCGAAAACAAGATCACCTATCAATGTGACCGGTCAGGAAAGTATTGGCCACATTGTCCATCCAATGTTCCTAACCCAGAAAAGACGACCAAATCCCGAAAGATTGACTGCCCATTCCGCCTGCTTGCAACTCAAGACCCCGACAGCTTGTCATGGATTTTTAAAGTCAAGAATCCGAATCACAACCATGGACCCTCGGCCGATCCTTCTGCTCATAATATGCACCGTCGTTTCACCTCCAAGCAGGAAAATGAGATAACAAAACTACACCAAGCTGGAGTCTGACCCTTGAAAATCAAAAACAGTTTAATGAAAACTACCGGTATCACTTTGCATGCCCCCTTGAGGGCTATCTACAACAAGAACTACAAGGATAACTGTGTTGCTCTCGAAGGAAAACCTGCGATGGAGGCGGTTATTGATGGCTTGAAGGCCAAAGGATATGATTATAAGGTCAAAACTACGGCTGAAGGCAACCTTAGTGCTCTCTTTTTCACCCTCCCAGGCTCAATCGATCTTGCAAAGAAACACCCCACGATGATCCAGATGGATGCGACATACAAAACCAATAAATACAAAATGCCA